CCCCCCCCCCCCCCTCTTGCCGCTTGGTCGTTCCGCCGTCCCTGTCTATTTCCTAGTAGGTCCTTGCCTTTGAAGCTACATTACAGGGGACCCAGGATGTGAAAACGAGCAATAGTCTACTGTTGCTTTACAGGGGACAGAGAGGGGAGAAATACCGTGGATACTCATATTCTATTGGTTAAAAGGCCATTTTCAAACCTGACTATAGCTTGACTATAGCTCGCGCCAAAAATTATAGTACGGGTTTCATTGTCTTCGATGCCTTTTCCAGAGCAAATCCCCAGACCGCCTATAGCTCGGAATATCCACTGTAGCTCAATTCTGGTTGGTTACTGTCAACAAAAAACGAAACTTCTGATTCGTCTAAGTTTTTGCCCGCAACTCGCGCGCGATAGCGCGCGAGTGAAGGGCTTATAGTCTGCCCCGCGTATAAGTAGCATATGGAAGCTTCAGTTCATGTTGTCAGCACTTTGTCAGCAGATTTTGTCACTTTTCTGCTGCCATGACAACTGTCAATCAATTTCATTGTCAATCAATCGGCTTTGTCGAGGAGGTCGTTAACCGCCACCTCTTTGTGCGGAAGGGAATTATCTTCGGAGAGTTGCTCTGCCAAGACTCTGTTAAAGGCCTTCGGTTTTTTTGGCACGAAAACGGTGCTGCATCACAGCTCGGTTCTCCGCAATGGATGGAAGTTTTGATTCGAAGTTTTGGGAATCAAAACCAGTCGAATGCCACACCTTTCTCCCAAAAACTCGACACCGTACGAGCAAAAGTTATGATTGTCGTGATTATAGCCTGTACATCGCTGTACGAATCCTTTATCGCAATCGATTTTAGCTGTACCCGTTCTATCACGTGTCCATTTTCATACGTCTTTGCTTCACGAAAACGCAAAATAAATGTCAAACCCTAGAAAAACTTCATGATTTTCAAAAGGGCGTTGGACTTAAATCAAAGGCAAACTGAACACCAAAAATTCTTGATAAAAAGAATAGTTTAGCATCAACTAGAGCAGCTGTTTTTATAAAATTGTGAAAACCCAAGATGGTGTCTTCTTCGAATATCCTGACCTAAATTTTCAAAACAATCATTATCAAGGAACTAATTGTTTGCGGGCAGTACTAGCAAGAGCTATTTCTAGTAATATTAGACCATTCTGCGCTCAGTGTTTTATATCTTATCTGGAGAGGCATTGTGATGACACATTGCCAGCAGTGCATGTTTGTTAATCGCATTTGATAACCTATACCGCTGCTTTCAAATGTGAATTCCGAAAATCAAACACTGAGATTTTGACTATAGCTCAAGCTACAGTTGCTATAGTCTGGATCCGCTCCTGCTGATAAGCACGGCGTAAGAATGAATGCAATATTAATCTCTGGCCTTGTTTAAGGTTCAATGAAAACCAAATGTGTAGTAATCTTCAATGAAAAGCATTCACTTCACAACCCAAGATTGAAGGGATACAATAAAACGACATGTTTCTTTTAACATGATAAACCAAAAAGCTTCTTTGAGAGAACAGCCACCTTGAGCTTGTAGGTCAAAAGACACCATTAAAACAAGTGAGTCTGTGTAGTGAAAAATCCAATATGTGGCAATGATAAATAAGCAATTGTGCAATGATAAAGTGGCTCTAAGATAATCACCAGGGTTTATAGTAAAATGTAGCTAAGATTAAAATGTAAACAAATATAAAATAATTTGAAATAATAAGTTATAAAAGCAAGAGAATTAAAAGGCACGCCTAGATTGTAGTTTAAACCTATAAATATTGGACAATGCTACATCTCATTAGGACATATATTTTCCCATTTTCACGCAGCCTCGGGTACATTTATGTAATTTTAAAATATAGTAGCCTGGGCACCAGACTTGCTATAAAAAAGATCGTTTAAAGATTTTTTTAAGTATGGTACACAGGTACCCAGGACGCAATCTGGTAAGCAGAGTGAAAAGGAGTTTTACAGCGATATAATTTCCTTAAAATAAGGCCAGTTACTTTATCCCGACTTTAATGGCATTTGACATGCTAAATACAGCGAATTAAAAAATAACTTAGACCAAATTGATCAGAGCACGCGAACAAGAAAGGAATTGGAAACCGCTCACGTGAAACCACTGCCCGCTGCTCTAGGATTTCACCGATTTGCAGAAAGGTAGAAACTGTTCACATGTTTTTCTCTGTGCGCAATTTGATTGGTCAACCGCTCGTGGTGGAGTGGCTATAAGCCACTTTTACCTGTGTCAAATGCCTTTAACGTTTCACAAAGGCAAAGGCAAGAAGATTCAGTTACATTACGTTGAAGAGTTCAGACTAAAATTTCTTGGAATCGAACTATAAATGATGACTAAAGAGTATTAGATAAAAAATAAATTGAAAATATATTTTCGAAAAAGTGCTCTTACCATCCCGTAAATTATTTTGCTGTCAGCATGTTTAAAACAACTTAGATGTTACGGTATCGTCGTTTGATTTAGGAGTATCAGAACATCCTCAAAATTTACACAGGAAACTAGAAAGTTTGATAATGATTACGTTTTTTAAGAAAACAAAGAAAAGATCTTTTAGAGATCTAGACATATATTTCTCTCAAACAATATTCGCCTTTCTCAAACTTGAGCCATTAGGGAAATTGACTTAAGCGAGGGACGCCAGTATTACCCAGATCTCTCTAACATTATCACCAATATTGGGTAGCAAGCAAGGCTAGAAGAGAACATGTCGATGCAGGCCTTTTTTACAAATACGTAGTCGAAAGTACCATCTGACCTATGACAGCGGCAATCTTGTGAAATAGTGATAAAGGGACAACCAAAGATTAAAATAAAGAGTCTTCTGAAGCATTGAGGAACTAAGTAATTTTCGAAGCATTAAAGATCTAAGTACTTTTCCAAGCATTAAAGAACTGGATCAATTTTGAAGCATTGAGCATATAAACCTAATAAGTTAAGTAAACTAAGCTTAAGATTTAAACCAAATAATTATAATGATAAAAGGGTTCTTGGTGTCAAATACCGAAAGATAATCAGTTCGAAACATAGTTTTGGCCCTGGATATAGAATTTGGATTAATTGCCGGCTTTTTAGTTTTTTTGTGCAAAAATTACTTGCATAAACAAAGCAAAAACATAAAAACTTGTACATTCTCTCCCAATCTTTCGAATCAAGAGTAACTTCCTAATATTTTGCAAATGTTAAGCTTCAGTAATTTACGTTTTGATAAAACACAATATCAGGTCACCACAATTGATATCACAGCCTTAAACTTGTGATAAGATACCATATCGCCTACATTTTTCATTCCTTTTTAATTTTCTATGATAAAGCAGTAGTTGTGTTTGTAAGTTGAAATAAGACTTGAGCATTCATCTACCCGCTTTCTACATTATCTTTTAAGTTACAATGCTACAGTGTGTTTTGCAATAGGGGATAGTAATTAAGATTTTCTATTCTCAACTAGCCCCATTTTGTTTTGAAATAATTGCGAGCCAACAGGTATACATTTAAGCCTTTCTGGCAAAAACCAAATGTGAAAACGTTTGGCTGCTTTCTATACACAGGCCCGTCGCTACGAAAAAAGCCTAAAGTATCTGACATATGGTCTCCTAGGATACATCATCTTCTCCTTTTGGCCTTTTTTGAATTAAATTGCGAATATTCTTGTCAAGTCCTTTGCCATCAGGAAAACATTTTGTTAAAATCTGACACCATCTCAAAATAGCTCAGTTTATTGTGAGGATGGTAAGACGTGGGCTGCAATGATGAGCTTGAACTTGGTTTTATCTCATTTTCATAAACATAACAATTATTTACATTATTAAAGCAATAACTCAAAACTCTGTTGTAAACTCCATAACTCGCGAACTCGACTCGACTCAACTCGTGAACTCAACTAACTCAAAACTGTCACACCTATCTCGCGTTAGCACTAAAACGAGGTTGTGACGAACGCATTATAACACACTCCCCCGGTTTGAATCATGACATGATCAAACCCAAATTAACTAAAGATATTAGTATTGAATATACTTGATTACATATAACAAAATCAGAACAATAACAAAGTTAAAGATAATATGCTGCAAAAACGTTAATGCATAATTTGTCTTCGAACTGTCTCTCCCAAAACTGCTGCTCTACGTCTAGGTCTAGTGTTTGCCTGCATAGGTAACTGCGTACGCTGCTGCGAAGGCGATTGCGCTGCTGGCTGCAATGGCAACTGCGTAGGAGGATTTTGAAAAGAATTTGTCAAATGGTTAGGTTTTACTTCTAATGGTATTAGTAACTTTAAAGAGCGACGCAAAGTCTTCTTACCTATTTTGCCATCGTCTGATCCTAGTCGGATAATCGCTGACCTTACCACCTCGTCTTTACCTACTATGAGCTCTTCTATGCGGCAGATTTTCCAAAAACTCCTTTTCTTGCTCTCATCTTTCAATAACACTACATCTCCAACTGCAACATTTGGCTTTGATTGATATTTGGTGGGTCTGTATGCTTCCATTAACCCTAATAAATATTCGTTTCTCCATCTACGCGTAAACTGACCTAAAAGAAGTCTATTATATCTTGCACGTTTAGATAAAGTTTCATAAACACTTACAATTTCTAGGTATCTGTATTGAGGCAAATGCAACAAATTTCTCCCGTTTATCAGATGTGAGGGGGTCAATGGGTACGAGATTCCCTCGGTATCGTCGTGTACGTAAGTTAAGGGGCGTGAATTGATAACACCCTCAACCTCTACGAGAATTGTACGCATTTCGTGAAAGTCTAATAGGGCTCGACCAATGATTTTTATAATACACCTCTTTACACTTCTAATTAATCTTTCCCATACTCCACCTTCCCAGGGACTTTTTTCTGTTATAAATTTCCACTCAACACATCTCAGAGACAAGGACTCGTAAAACCTGGGTGATCTTAGTAACTTCTTAACTTCTATACTTGCTGACTTAAATGTTTTGGCATTATCACTCCAAAGGGTAGAAGGTAACCCTCTACGACCGCAAAATCTTCGGAATGCTTTAAAAAACGCATCAACCTCTAATGACTCTACTAATTCAAGGTGAATCGCTCTTGTAGACATACAGGTGAATAAACAAACATAACACTTTTTAGTGGTGTCTCCTGCATACTTGACGACAAGGGGCCCTGCGAAATCAAGACCAGTATTTGAAAATGGTGGACCGTCGTCTACTCGAGCTTGCGGCAAATCTGGGTTGAAAGTTGTACGAAATGGCAACCCTTCTAGTTTCTTACATAAAAGACATTTGCGAACATATTTCTTTACCATTTCTCTGCCTCGTGGAACCCAATACGTTTGACGCAATAAATTTAATGTTTCACGTGTTCCATTGTGAAATACCTTTCTGTGCGACTCTTGAATTAATAAGAAGGCATAATGATTACCTGGGGGAAGTAAGATGGGATTTTTCCCTGAATCAATGACCGAAGATTTGTTTACTCTAGATCTACACCTCAATACTCCGTGCTCATCCAAAAAAAGATTGAATTGGCTTACATACAGCGGCGCCTTACTTCTACTCTTATTATCTTTAGAAAGATACTGCAATTCTATCTTAAATGCTTGGTTTTGAATAGACTTAACAATGACCATCTCAGCTCTGCAAGTTTCGTCTGCCGATATTTCATTTTCCTTGTTAATCGATTTGCAACTTAGCCTTGCTTTTAAATTGTCTACGAAGCGCAAAACCCAAAAAAGAGTTCTTAACAACTTGCCTTTGCTACTGTATTTACGAATGTCGAAAACATTTTCCAGATTTAAGGATACTGGCTCTTCTGAATTAACCATAACGTGGGTAACTTCAGGCTCATACTTTACCTTCTCCTCCATTGCCTCTGAACTTGTAAACTCGTTTGGGGGTTGTGGCCATTCACTGGGGTCGAGCTTGAGGAACTCAGGACCCTCCCACCAGAAAGAATTAGTGGATAGAGAAGACCCAACCTTACCCCTCGATGGCAAATCTGCTGGATTCTGGGGTCCAGGGCAGTAAAACCATTCCTCCCTATTGGAAACATCTAAAATGTCATTGATGCGATGGCGAATAAATTGTTTCCACACCTTCTTGTTCTTAATCCAGCATAGCGTGGCCATGGAATCAACCCAATAGAATGTTTTTAATGGCGTAGTTGGAAACTCTTCTTGCAAAACGTTACGCACAGAATTAACAAGACGGCCCATAAGTGTTGCCCCTAATAGCTCAAGGCGAGGGATACTTTGTTTCTTGATGGGGGATACCTTGGCTTTCGAAGAAACAAATTGAATTTCGACCTCCCCCGATTCATACAAAACGCGTAAATATACAACACTAGCATAGGCCCGCTCGCTAGCGTCTGAAAAGGCATGGATTTCGACTGCTTTGACCCTCTGCCCTAGCTTCGCAAAACTACGTGGTAATGTGATACCCTTAATGCCACTGATATCTGAAATTAATGTGTCGTAACGCTTAAGGTTGTCGCCTAATAACGGTTCGTCCCAGGGAACTTTCGCGATGCACAACTCCTGAAAGAAAACCTTTAGTTTTATTGTGAACAAACTAAGACACCCTAGAGGATCGAATATTTTTGCGGCGACCTTCAATAAGGAGCGTTTCGTTGGCGGCAATTGCTTAGCAAATTGGTGTACTTGGTGTAAATCGAAAAACAACTCATCTGCCTCAGGTCGCCAGTTTACCCCCAATATTTTAGTTGTGTGGTCCGTGGTGGGAAGCCCCATACTAAATTTGCTATATGACTGATCGTCCTCTGCAACTTGAGGCTCACTGTTATTTTCATTTGCCCCAACGTTAGAGCCTTCGACCGCTTGGATACGTGCTAAGAGTGCCTTGTCGTTTGTTTTCCACTTACGTAAGTTGAAGCCGCCCTTAGCTAGAATTTCTTTTGATTTCTTGTATAAATGAAATGCCTCTTCTCTAGTATTAACACTACACGAAAGGTCGTCGGCATATAGATGGCTCAAAACATTAACCACCTCCGGGCATTCATCATCAAATGATGAAATATGTTGTTTAATCGTGGCCCCTAAAATCGAAGGCGAAGGTTTGAGGCCAAAGGCTAGGCGGCACCAGCGGAACTCAACTACCGACGGGTTTGAACGTGTTATATCGTCAAACCACAAAAAGCGCAAAGAATCACGATCTGACTCTTTGATCTCTATTTGCAAAAACGCCTTCTCAATATCGGCAGTTAATGCTATTGCATGGGCGCGAAAACAGATTAGTATGTCAAACAAAGGAGGCATGAAATTTTCTCCTAGCAACAACGTGTCATTCAAAGATAATTGTTCAGGACCTGATTTTTGACTACCGTCAAACACTATACGTAATTTAGTGGTATCATGATCCTTTCTTACCACACCATGGTGACACAAATAGTGTAATTTACTCTGATTGTTGTTATTGTGTTCAACTCGCTCAATTATCCCCTTTTGCAACTGCTCTTGAAAAATTGCATTATACTCATTTAAAAGTGTAGGATCAGATTTCAATCTTGAATGCAATGAATTTAATCGTTTAAAACACAACTCGTAATTATCTGACAAAGGCTCGTTAGATAAATCGTGTCTCCAAGGGAGACCTACCTCATACCTTGTTCCGTTGAATTTTATGTTGAATTTCTCACCCTTGGACTCGACCGCTGCACTGCATTCGTCCGGTGTTTCAGTTTCATTTTGAACAATTTCGGGTAAACCTAACGATTCATGTCTCCAAAACTCTCTCAGTGACTCTGTAATCTCCTTTGTATCAGCTGATTTCTTCTCTTGGCCTACCTCTAAATCTGAAATAATAACTTTCCGAAGGCTTCTGTCTAAAACAAGATGACAATTCAGATTAGTACTTGCAGTAGATACATTTGGAGCCTCATAAGGCCCTGACAAAAGCCACCCCAACTTACTCTTTACAGCTACAGGACCTGAACTACCCTTAATGATGTCCCCTGTAATGAATTCAAAGTAGTAATCAGCACCAATCAATAAATCAATATGCTTTTCAGAAGCCTCCACGCTGTCGGCAAAATGTAGGCTGCGCAAATGCGGATAATCGCTAACTGTAACGCAAGCTGAAATTGGCGAGCAAATGGTAGGATAAGCTAATGCATTTACTAGTACTACCTGATCTGCTACCTCTACTTTTACCGTTACAGATTCACACAATTTCTTAGCATATTTATCTGTCCCAAACGTGTTAATGTTTAGAGTTTCTGAATGCTCCACTGGTAAAGATAGCTTCTTCTTCGTTTCTTCGGACATTTAGCTGCGTTGACTGCCAGAATCGAACAATATTGTGATTGGAATTTTTGTCACACCATCTGCTGCAAATGCCTGAGCTTTCGCCGTCTGGAGCAAGACCTGCTTTTTGTCGTTGGCTAGGGCTGTCACTGATGCCACTTTTTCACTTGAAACCTTTATTGTTTTGAAGCAAATTACTTGATGGTGTCCTCTGCCACAGTTTCTACATTTTCTTTGGCATTCTCTCGCTAAATGTCCTGTTTTTAAGCACTTAAAACAGCGTTTCGCTCTCTTCAAAATCTCTGTACGTTTTCTGACATCTGTAATTTCGGTGCATTCGATGGTAAGGTGCCCTTTACTGCACAAATAGCATGTTTCC